AATTTAGGCTTTGGTGGATTGTCACTTGATGAGAGTGGCTTTGTGCCACTTGCTGAAAGTTCTTCGAATTTAGGGGTCCGTGTATTAACAGCATGAGTTGAGCAATTCTTTGAATCATCATCTATTATTTCAGATGTGATGGACTCTAACAAAGAAAGTTCATTGGAATTTTCACAAAATGTGTTGTTCAGATGGTCCTGGACCAAAGATTCAATGGAATTTATTTCTCTTTCTTCTTTGTCCTCTCCTGGGTGTTTGGCAACATTGAAAATATTCAGCTCAAATGTCATATTTCCAAAGGTTAATTTCATGACCCCATTCGTACAATTGATTAGTGCATTTGAAGTTGCTAGGAAGGGTCGACCAAGAATAACAGGAATTGGATTCTCTTAATTTTGTGTTGGCTGAGTATCTAAGACAATGAAGTCAACAGGAAATACAAAGTTTTCCACATGGACAAGTATATCTTCAATAATACCCTTAGGAATTTTGACAGACCTGTTTGCCAACTAAAGTGTGACACTTGTGGGTTTGAGTTCCCCCAAATCCAACTGCTGGTAAACAGAGAATGGGAGCAAATTGACACTTGCTCCAAGGTCTAACAGTGCTTGTTCGATTCTAAAATTTTCAATGACACATGACACAGTTGGACACCCTGGATCTTTATATTTTGGAGGGATTTTGTGTTGAAGCAAAGCACTGGCATGTTCTGTCAAAAAGACTTTTTTTTTTTTAACATTCTAGCTTCTCTTGACTGTGCACAAGTCTTTCAGAAACTTGGCATAAGATAGACCCTGTTTGATTGCATCTAGAAGTGGGATGTTGATTTTTACTTGCTTGAAGAGCTCGTAAATTTTTGGCTGATTATTTAACTTCTGTGCAGTTTTGAGTCTATGAGGAAAAGGAGCAGGAATAGAATATGAGGGTTCTTCTTCCCATGATGGTTCTGGTTCTTGTTTAATCGTGGGCTCGGGTTCCTCTTCTCTCGTAAGTTCAGGCTCAATCGATTCAGGCTTGATTGGTGAGTTGACTGGGATGGATTTTGGCTTTGGAATTAGCTTGTCTCGAATGGTCTTGTCAATCACCTTGCCACTTCTTACTGTAATGACAACTTAGGCTTGACCTTGTAGATTTTTCATGGTTGAAGGATTTCCCACCTGAAATTGGCCTTGTGGTGGTTTTGGTTGGGTAGGAAACTTGCCCTTCTCATGTGTGGTCATGGATTGGGTCAACTTTTGGACGTGACTTTTAAGATCCTCGAAAGATTGAGTGGTCTGTGTTTTGAAATCAGTGAAAGCCTGAGTGGAACTATGGTTGTAGTTCATTTGGCTTTGCATGAACTGGTTCAGTGTGTCTTCAAGGCTCCTTTTTTGTGGTGGTTGGTATGGTTGGTATGCAGGAGGTCCTTGAAGTGGTGGATGTGAACCTTGTTGTTGGTTCATGAGAGTTAGCTGTGTGTTCCTCCAACTGAAGTTTGGGTGGTTCCGCCACTCTAGATTGTATGTTTCAGAGTATGGGTTGGAGTAAGGCTTGTTGAAATTAGAGACAACATTTGATTATTCAAACAAAACCTGTTGGAATGCTGGAATTATAGGACACTCCCCATCAGGGTGTCCTATTAGCGCACAGATCCCACACACTTGTTCTGTGGGAGAGCTAACATCAACTTGATGAAATTTTTTCATCTCTAAAGCTTCAAGCTTTCGAGATAGGATGAAAATTTTTGCTCTAAAGTCATCATCATCTTTCAAGACATACTTACCCCCTTAGGAAGTAGGTGGTTTGGCTTCAATAGTTGTAGGAGAGGCGGAGCCCCACATCTGAGAACTGTCAGATATGGTATCAAAGAAATCGAATGCCTCCTCCATAATTTTTCCCATAAACTCTCATTGAGCCATTATTTCGACAAACTAGCGTAGTCTACTAGGCAAGGAGTCATAGAAAAATCCTACCAAAGTCCAATTCTCAAAAGCATGGTGTGGGCAGGATTGGAGAAGATCTTTGAATCTTTCCCAACTTTGGTAAAAAGTTTCCCCTTCTTTAACCGAAAAATTTATGACTTGTCTTTTAAGTGCATTAGTGCGGTGTAGAGGAGAAAACTTTTTGAAAATTTCATTCTATAGTGCCTACCAGTTGGGTATTGAAAGAGCTTTTAAAGAATTTAGTCATTGTTTAGTTTTATCCCTTAAGGAAAAAGGGAAAAGTTTCATCTTAGCCAGTTCGGAATTGTCTTGAAAGGTTCCACATACTTTCTCAAAATCTTTTATGTGCAGATATAGGTTTTATGTTTCGAGTCCACGAAATTGAAGGAGTAGTTGAACTGTCCCCATCTTTACAGTAAAGTGGGGTACATCTTTAGGAAAGATAAAACAAGAGGGGACACTATTTCTTGTGGGATTTAAGTAATCCCTCAAAGTTCGACTGTTAGGTACTTCCCCTTCTCTTACAGGAATTTCTTCTCGTCTCTCACCATTCGCCATTTTACTTTCAAATATAGTCTGCTACTGATCTAGGTGAAAGTGGTTCAGATTGATTCACAGATCCAGATGATTCAACTGACAAATTTTGATAGTGTGGGGTGTTTTTAGTCATAAAAGTAATTAACACAACTTTATATATAGTAAAGCAAATTTATACACAAAAATGAGGTCTTTTTACCTTTTACCGTAAAACACCTTTTATGGTTCCCCGGCAACGGCACCAAAAACTTGAATTGATCCACAATGTGTACATCCAAGTGCAGGCGGTCAAGTTGTAGTAATAATCTGGTGAAGTTTGGAGTCGAATCCACAGGAAACTATGATTGGTGTTTCTGAAGTAAGCAATAATAGAGACCGAGTAACTTGGAAATTTTGAGTGTTTGGAGTGGTGGGGATTTCTTGAACAGAATAGAAGATTCTTTTCAAGAGTTTTCTAGACAAAATAAAAGATTAAGATTACAAAAATGCAACAGCCACCCTTTAGCTCGAGGATCAAGACATGTAATAGAGTATCCATTTTGTTATGTTTGTGCTTTATAACTCAATTAACTCCCGTGTCAACAGTAAGTTAATCGGAAGATAAAGATAAACTATGAGAATTAAGCACATAATTCCGATGCCTTTCTAGAAGTTTACAGGAATTGTCTGTGCCAAGACTTAACCCGTCTACAAACAAGCAAGTGTTTCTTACAAGACATCCAACCATGGCATTAATGATCCATTCTTTGAATAAAGCGCAATGATAGTGGGGTTTGAAAGGTTGTCATGAAGAGCTAGCCGGGGTACTTGCATTGAACCAACGGATCTTTCTATGCAAGAGTCATTTGTATCATAGATGGAGCCCTGGGTTATACAAAGTACCTCAATATTTGCTAGGTACATTCAATCGCCCAATGAACATGTGGAGTATAAACCATTAAAGCATGAAGAAGTTGCACAAACTTAACTTTTGATAATCTTTAAATATTCATCACTTCTTACTAAAGAGTGAATGAAGAACTAATCACTTTTCATGGCCTTGGCAAGGCTAGAAAATGGAGTGCTACTAATCCCTCTAAGTAGAGAAGCTACTAAGTAAATCAAACTAAACAAAGAGCTTATCTTCAATGAAGAATAAGTGAATCACTTTCCACCCTTCACGACTTTGGTAAAGCTGTAGAAAAGTGGAAAAGTTTCACTCTTCTAAGAAAAAAGGATGCTCAAGTAATGGAAGTGAAATACATGCACAATAAAAGTAGAAGAAAACTAGTTGCTTTTGGAGGGTTTCCACCACAACCAAAAGATAAACTACCTCTCTTGATACTTTGAAAATAAAAGCAAGTACAACTACAAGGGGAGTGTAAAACTACAAAGGGAGTGTAAGCCTCCATAATGGTTGTCACAACATGAATGTAAAGACTTAGCATAAGGGAATGAAAGGCTTCAACTATAAGGGGAGTCTAAGCCTCCATCATGGTTGATATAAATGTAAAATAAAAACATAAACATGAAATGTTCAAAAACTAGATTACTAAAACACTCTTACTTCACAAGAACAAAGATTGCTCCCCTTTTTTTCTACAATAGGAAGAATGCCTTTTAAGCTCCCAACATGGGAGTATTTATAGGCAAGGAAAGGGAGGGGGTAGGAGATAAGAGAGGATGAGTGAATAGTATTTGCCACCCATTGGAATCAACTATTCTACAGGTAGAGGGACGCTCGAACGTGATTTGGCGTTCGAGCATTAAGTCTGTCTTTTCTTTAAGGACGTTCGAACGTGAGATGTCGTTCGAACATTGTCTATGTCTTTGCTTTGAGGACGTTCGAATGTCAGATGGGGTCTGGTTCCTTCCACTCAAGTGGCCAGTGGTTACTGACTTGGTCACTTCCATACGTCTTGAACAACCTTAACTTTACACTCAGCAACTTGGTCTTTAGTCACTCAAGACAACATTCGAATGTGGAGTGATGTTCGAATGTTGTACTCAAGTACTTCTGGTTCTTCTTTCTTTCTGCAACATGCCAGGTTCCAGTGGTGTAGTCTTCTCAGGATTGCAGAGGACGTTCGAACGTGATTTGATGTTCAAACGTGGTACTCAAGTACCTCAGCATTTTCCCTTTGTTGACTACAACACGCCAGTCTCAGTAGCTGGTCTTGGCAGGGTTTCAGAGGATGTTCGAATTTGGTTGACGTTCGAACATTCTTGCTTTGTTCCAACCTTTTGTAATTTTGTTCCCTATTGTGCTGGTGTTACATTTAAGTGTGATTTTTGTTGTTCTTGAGCCTTTGTTCACTTTAGGCCCTGAAATGTTGTTACTTAAACTCCATCAAAGCACAATTAGTCCAAAACGGCATAGTAAAAATTGTCAACTATACGCACAAATCATATAACCCTTCCCCCTTCTTCTCCACTTCTTTGTGATTATAGGGTCTTGAATACTGGTGTTTCTTTCAGCTACCTCTATTTCCCCTAAATTAGGGGAGATTCGGGGTTGGGCTAGAAAAGATATGGGGTATCCATAAAATCTTCCAAAGCCCACTAGGCTACCTTATCAGTTACTAGTCCAGACTGGCTACTACACTCCTCCAAAACCCCCTCCATTTCATCCACAAACTTTGGGCCTTTAAATCCGCCCCGAGGATCCTTTAAGCTACTACCCGACTCCAGTGGAATATCAACCTCAATACTTACACCTATATTACCTTTATTCATGGGGATTAGAGTTTCAATTTCCTTTCGCTTTCCCTCCTCGTTTACCTGGGTTTCCCAAAATAAAGGATTTTGCTTATTTAATGAAGGCTCATTTGGTTCCCTAATCATTCCTCTTTCCATGTTCAGCCTCCCGTTGGCAATTTATCCTCACCGACTTTATGGCCTGTTGTGCTCTGCAAAAATCTACTCGCTAGAGCCCTCAACCATGCCCCAAACTGCAACGGTCCATTCATAATAGGAATTGAAGAATCCAGTTTTAACGGGCATTCTCTTTCCCCATGGCCTAATCTTCCACAATAGTAGCAAAAATGAGGCAATCTTTAATACTTGAAAAACACAGTAAAGCTTGACTCCCCCATTCCTCTAATATTCATACCTCTAAGGAGGGGTTTCTCGATATTAATGATCACTCAAACTTTCAAACATCTCCCCCATCTTACTCCATTAGCCAAATTCGTTTCCACAAAATGTCCTGTCTTATTGACTATTATTTCTGCAGTCTCTTGGTTCATACTATTGAAAGGAAAATTATAAATGCGGACCCAGAAAGGACACCCACTAAAAGAGACTTTGGATGCCTGAGACATACTGATTAACCCTAATTAGTGTGTAAATAAAATAATTAAGTGATAAATTTTGTAAGATAAAATCTCTAAACATTATGAATTATAGTTTGTGTGCAAAGTAAAGTTTTTAATACTTTATGTGTAAATTTCAGGGTCAAATGCAAAAATAATGGGAAATACAATGCAATTTTGCAAGAGTTGAAACTATGAAGGACTAAGGTGTAATAAAGAATCATGGACAAATCAAAAGGCAACAAGTGGTAGCTCTAGAAGAAGACACCTTGCACTACTGCAGGGCTTAACCTTTAGGAAGGTTAAGGTAGGGGTTAGGACCTCCCGACACATGGAAGCTTCAAAACTCGACAAGTGGAAGCCTAAGACCGTGACATCTAGCTCTGCTGCAAGGGTCAACATTCCTAAAGGGTGAGAAGAGGGTTAGGACCCCTCCTTGGCCGAAATTTCACCCTCCCCTATAAATAGGGGTCTTGCCTTCATTCTTCAAGAGACTTGAAACATTCCACTCCAAGTACTCCAAGCCTTCACAATACCATTTCAAGAGAAAATTTCCTTCCTACCAAGAAAGCTAGCCAGCCATCAAAGAGAGAAAGAAAAAGCCTTTGAAAGCTGGTCTGTTTGTTACTCTGTATTTCTACATTTCTGAAATATCTTTCTATTCGGACGGTTGAACTGCTGCCACTTTTTTTTGTCTTGAATGATATTAAGGGTGGTTATGTTTCAATTGTTCCTTGTGAAAGAAGTTTTATTTTAATTGTAGTGAATACTACCCACACTTCTTGCTTGTCTGTAGCAATGGAGCGTGAGTAGTCGTTTATACCCTCCAGTGTGAGGGGAACATATGTATATTACTGTTTAGATTATGGAAATGCTTATGTTTTATTTATATGTTTATTTATATATGTATTATATGTTTAATGCGTGATATAGTGATGTGTATAATTCCGGTGTTGTGCCTTGGATTATATCATCAGTATATCATAAGACCCGTCGGTCTAACAACCACGATGTTTCTATTGATATGGCTTTACTTCCACCGAAATGTTGAGGAAGTTGACTGATGTGTGGTTCAAACCTAAATGATACTCATGAATGGCTTGTCCTTCTGGATTATTAGGGTTGATTATTATTATATATAATTATTATAACAGTCTAACAACCACGATGTTCCTATCGGTATGACTTTGCTTCCACTGGAACGTTGAGGCTGTTTAACTGGCACATCTATACCCAATGTAGCTTAAGAAGCAGCTGTGTTATAATATATTACCACTAGTGTACCCTAAGAAGCAACTATGTTATGATTTATATATATGCACTTGCAATCATGAGATCAAATGAATAACTCAAGTATTCCTCATGAATGGTTTGTCCTTCTGGTTTGCTTGGGTTAATCAGTTGACATAGATATAACCGGTGTAGCTTAAGAAGTAGTTGTGTTGTAATATATTACCACTAGTATAGCCTAAGAAACAGTTGTGTTATGGTTTATTTACATCAGACCTGCCGGTTGACTTTTCAGTAGCATGTGAGTTAATTGTTGTGAGGTAGCATTTTAAGTATCTAACCAATATAATGCATATCGAACCCTTAAACTGAAGGATATCTTTTATATTCTGGTTGCTAACGCATTTACTTACGCACCTTATTATTTCTGTCATTAATCTGTTTTATTTACGCATTTTATTATCTCTGTACTTTATTTTCGCATTGCTTTTATTTAAATAAACTAGTTATCAAACTAAACTCACACCACAAGCTATAAAACAATATTCTGCTTCAAACAACACTTTTAATTTTTTTATTTATTTTATTTTATAGTCTAAATTACTAAACTCTTCGTGGGATCGATACTTGGACTTAAAACCGAGAACACTACAATTTGACTACTTATACTTGGATGTACAATATAATAATTCAGACCACTAAAAAGTGTGAATCACGTACCATCATAATCCTTCAATAGAATTAACAGATTATCAAAGGACCATGGCATACCTTCAAGAACTCTATTCTTGTCCAACCTTTTACTGAATTGAATAAGAAAGAAATTGTCACCCGCCTCAATAAAATCCACTTTGGTTATATTTCAGAACTTTTTCATTGTAGTTTTGAAAGCCATCTTGTTGTAAAGTTTATCTGTCAGGACTTTCCCAAAAATGCACAATTTGCCTTTCTCCCCCAAATCACCGACCCCTTGGACATGGAGATGAACTCCACTACTCTCCTCTTACTACCACAACTGTTGCATCTCCTCATTCATTATTGTAACAAGAAGCCCACTCACCCAAATGCTAGAGTCGTTCCAGCAAGTCAACCCCAATGAATCAGAAAAAATAAACCAAGATCTGCACACAGGAAGAAAAAACAAGAGAATTTTAATCAAATTGGTGAAAACCTCTTTAAAGAATAGCCTAGAAAAAACCTAATCAGTCAAGAAAGATAAGGGATTCAAAGAACAATCGATCCTTCTAGAAGATCCGAAAAAGAATAGGACACTTCCATTAGTTTAACCTAAGGAAGATGTCGACTCTGTAAAATAGAGACGAAAAACTCTACTCCCCTAACGGGAGAGAGACACATTTGGGGGATCTTTGACTAAATCTAAGAGACACGTATTTTTATTTTGAGTAATCACCACTAGTTGAATTACTATATCTCATTTTGACTATGTTATGAGAAAATACATGGACAGATCTAGAGGGAGGGGGGCATTGTGTCCCAAAGGTTTGATAAATCCTGCACTTACATACAAAAATCATAAAATGATTTCCACAGTTTGATGGAGTTCAACCCCAAGACCAATAGTACTAAGAATGCATTTGGTATAATTTATGAAATCTAAAAATTATTTTTTCAAAAAGTATTTATCAAAAGTGTTTTATAAGAAAAACACTTTCATTAAATAAATATCGTTTGGATATTCAAAATAAAAAATACTTAAATAAAAATATTTTATAAAAAGTTTGTTTGGGTGTAAAAATACCTATTTGTGTTACAATTGCTAAAAATGCTAAATCAAAAGTGCTTATTTAAATACCGGCATTGATTTATTTATTTTTTAAATTCCTTCAATTCAATAAACCTGACTGTAGGTGTATTGACAAACAAATTTCTTAGTTATCCAACTGAAATGGTAACATCTCTATAACATTGGGAAGTATCATTACTTTCAGAAATGGTAACCTACTGTTTCAATAAACCTGTTGTTACCCAAGGATCCACTACCTATAATATTCGACAATTAACAAGTTCCATTAAAATTAATGCAATCTTGAAACAAAAAATTCAAAGAAAAATCGGGCATAACATTTACTTTGTCATTGCATTGCACATAACATAATATAAATTTTTGCAACAAAATTTAAAAAATAATTCCAATAAGCCTATCTGATTGAACTACTTGTTCCGGATGACCTAAAATTGAAGCAAAAAAAAAAAACAACAATATAAACATTAGCATTCAAACATGTTCAAGCACAACATTAATCAATAAATTATCTATATTTACAAGATCACATTTACAAGTTTTTCATTATATACTCTAAAAACTTTACATTACGATTGACAATATCTTGTAACGAGATCTAAAGGATGCAATTTAAAAAAAAAAAATTTAAGCCAAGCTTTCCAATTTGGAGAAATTTAGAACTAGCCTAACATGTGTCACTGACCACATCTCTACGTTAACAATTGCTTCAAGTTCAAATGCAAAAAATACTTCAAGTTCAAATGCAAATAAATTAACATAAAAACCTAGTGCCATTTCATTAAAATAATAATAAAGCTGAAAAATTATATAATGAAATAGCCCGACCTAAACCCCGTGGTTTGTTTCTCAACACAGGCTGCAGTGCATAAACATTCTTATTACTCTAGATATAGTCTATCCTATACTTATAGGTACAACTTAGTAATGCATCACACTAGAGAAGAGCTAAAGGAGTTTGAGTTGACAAACGAAATGCTAGATGATCAAGAGTGGTATAGATTATTCCTTTCTAGTATCAAAGCCACACACAAAATACATGTTCAATTTAATAAAAAGCCTTGTCTTTGGTGCTATTCAGATGAGATAAGGGACTGAGATGCCAGCAATTCCATGCCATAGAAATAAATAGAACAGATAAAATTACTAGAGTTCAGATAGTCATCAAGTAACACCCCAAGGTCAACAAGGCCGGTTACAACATTCCCTGCCTTAATTTTTGTGGTTGAACTAAGTTGAAGCTGGATGTTGACCATACATAAGTCGCTCAACCCAAGGTAGAAACCACTTGTGCCCAAATCGCTGCACAAAACAAGTAATGCCACAATAGACCCCCAGAAGTACATATTTACGTATGGACATGCGATCAAAATCGAGCCTTTCGTTTGAGCTTTGTATTTTGTATCTGGAGGCATGACATTTCCCTTCTCCTCATTTGTTCCTTCTTCTTCATTACCCACTTGGTTATCTTTTGCTTTTTCCTAGGCCTCTGCCTGCCTGAAATGCACACCTACAAGGCACAACGAAACTTGGTCATAATCAGACATACACGCATTTAAAAAGTTAATATCGGATCGTTAATAAGCATCAATACTCCAGATTCTAATAGAATTTATCCATCCTCATGAAATGTAATTGTCAAAAAATTATCACACACTAGAATACACTGTCTGATTTTCTTTGTCTCCACTACCCTCATCATCTGAGCAACTTTCTTCTTGTTCTCTTTTCCCTTGTGGAGTGGCAGCACTCAAAGATGGTGGACCACAATTTAGCACAAGGTATTCTTTTCTTTTCTTAGTACTGTCACGAGAAAGTTAATCTCAAAATAAAAAGGTACATTTCATCAAGAATAACTCTTCTCATAAACAAAATGAAGAGATATTTTGGATCCTCTGCATACCTGTGTGGGTTGTGAACAAATACACCACCAGCAAATCCAGAACGCATGGCAAATCCTAGGATCAACTCACGCTGGGCAAGCTTTTCAGGGTATACTTGAAGTACTGCTCGAGCTCCCCTTGTCAAACATCTATATAATGATCCAAAGAAAGCCCTGAGAAATGTAGTGTTTCAAACACATTAAACTCAATTAGTACCGTGATTATAATGCTCTTATTTTTTGGTCAAAAAAATTAAAGCAAATTGCGACATACTTTAATCTTAATCGAGGATCATGGGAGGTCTTGTCAGCATTGCATAACCACTGCATGATCAAATCAAATGTAAATACATATGTTCTCTATATCCTTCTAATCAAGCTGAACAAACTATGATCTTCCAGCCAAAACCAGCAGCAAATTAGGCCTGAGCGACTTAGTGTAGTTGTGCTCGATCCAGCCAATACTAAAGCCAATCCAAACCCAATATGCCAGGATGAACAAGTATGAAATGATCTCAGAAAGGCTCATGTTGGTTATAAATAGGTCTAGGCACCATGAATTTGTTAAACAATACAACTGGTAAAATAACAAGTGCACATTCAATATATAGTAATACTGGATCATAGTCATCCTTCAAAATCCATACTACTTAAATTATGTTTTCCAGTTTCCAATGGTAGCCTTAATATTTAAGGATTATTAGCAGATACCATAAAAATAAGTCATGCATACAGGCCAAGGCTTTGATAAAATAGGCCTTGATAGTGAAGTGAAGATGTATAGCAGCGTCTTGACACGGTAGGATGAAATACTATACAGGATTGGTGTCCTAAAACCCGAACTATTTGGAATGACATAGATGATGATGGTAGAAGATATTCCTAGTGTGACAGATAGAAATCAGCCTGAATAAACGTTGGCCATTAGCCATTATATTATATGCACTTATTCCCAATAGAATTTAGGTCAAAACAATCTAATTCCTCTCTAAAAGCACTCATAAATTTAATGGAATCAAAAAAAAAGTAGCTCTTTTAAGAAACTTATTTTCTGTCTTCAAAAAATAGATTCTCTCCCAAAATATTTCTATCTCCATCAGGAAAACTAAATTTTCTCTCTAAACCCGACTTCTCTCACAGGGGAACAAATGGTTTATTCCTACAAAGAGAGCAATGGCTTTAAATTGGAGAGTTTATTTGATTTCTAGAGAAAGAGAAGTGGGCTTTACAAATACAATGAAACAAAGGCGGATAATTGTTATAATTTACAAGATTTTGTGAGAGAAAAACCAATGTCTAGTTGTTTTATTGCTCACGTGGAAGACCAATGCAAAAGCGACCCGTACATTTTTGGTTACAAAATTCGCCTCTTTGGAGTTCTGGTTGACATTGAATCAACTTAAAAAGTTTGAGAACTAAGTTGAGATAGTATGAAGCTTAAGGAAATAATGAAACTATTTTGTGAGAGAAAAACCAATTGTTGGTTGTTTTATTGCTCACGTGGAAGACCAATGCATAAGCGACCTATATGTTTTTTGTTACAAAATTCGCCTCTTTGGACTTCAGGTTGACATTGAGTCAAATTAAAAAGTTTGAGGACTAAGTTGAGATAGTATTAGGCTTAAGGGCATAATGAAACTATGGGCATAGGTTAGGGGCCAATAATGTTTCACCCAAAATATATGACATTTGAAAAGTTTGAGTACTAAGTTGAGATAGTGTGAAGCTTAAGCGCATAATTGAAACTATAAGTAAATAGTGTTTCAACCCAAAAATATATGACATTTGTAGGCATAACTAAACAAAAATATTACTAGCAATAATGAGATTCTGAGAATTAAAAAGTTGAAAGAAAATTCTAAATTTGGTCGAGGAAAGGTGGCAACATAATGGCAGGAATTTTCTTGAAACTACTAGAAAAGGATATACTTATGTGTCCGCATATGTTACAAATATCCTCACAACATATACTTAAGTGTCCGCATATGTAATGTTTCAGGGTGTCATTTTCTGATGTTATGGTATCATATTTTTAAATTTTTCTTTATTTCTAGTTTGTTTCCAACATATTTATTAATGTTCCCCTTTTTTAGCTAATCGACTTTGTGAACTAAGAAGAAATTTTGATCCTTGATTGGACATTACGGATAAAATGAGAGAAAATGAACCACACACTAATTTCGTATTTTTCATGTCTTAAATTATGCTGGTAAATTCATATATCTAGGAAATCAAAGTTGAGAGAAGCTGAGTGAGGAAACTCAACAGCTTTAGGGAGATACATAATGATATGAGAATTAGGTGAAGACAAGATCAATGGTCCAGCCACCAAAATCGCAGCTAACTTAAATAAATGTTCAGCATTTCTATTGGAAATGGAATCTGAAAATAGCAAGCTTTGCAAAAAAAATTACTTCATCAAGAAAGATTGATTATGTATATTACAAAGTACAAATAAGGTATCAAGACACCGACCTGCCAGTAAAATATGCATATTTAACTATGCACCATTCAATGAACAAGAAGAAACAAACCTGAACAGCTGAGATATTGATAGCTCCATCAATAACTCCAGGACGAAATCCTTCATCCTACAACATACCCAAAGCACATATACTATATCCCGATCATTTTGCACTGAACGAAAGTAAGCATGTGTATTGATATCTTATCCAATAGTGATAACGTCCAAATCGCATGAAACTTATTTTCTACAAATCAAGTTCAATAGTAACATTTCCTTAATTTACATTCACTTCACGCACAAAGGGCCAACACATGGTAAACGAGTCCATTTTCCTGCCGTGAAAAGAAAAGAAATGAATAGTAGAGTATATAATCAACCCCAAGAATTCCTGGTTTTTCCCTACTAAACTCAGAAGATGTATTAATAGGCAAGTAAGTAATTGTTTATCTGTCCCATAATTCCACTTCAAGAACCCTTTTTTAACTGTCATATACCATAGAAACTTAGAGATAAAAGTGTCCCACATTCAGATCTGTTTTTTTTTTTTTTGAACAGGACCCACATACAGATCAAAGCTCAAAATTTGAGTGGCTACCTGACCCATGTCAGCAAGCATAAGATCACCCTCAACCTCACGCTCCAATGCAATTCCTGGATTAGCAATTTTAAGATCACTTTAAAGATATAAAGTAGAGATCGAGGAGAGGGGGGATTGGGGGGGAAGAGATGTTACAATACTCCACTCAACAGAAACCCTGAATTCACATACTAAGCATTGACTGTGATATATGTAAGCTAATCCATTGGTGTCCATTCTCGGATAACGTCTCCCCACTAAGTCCTGATCCACAACTTAGAGAACACAGAAAAAGAAGTGAAATATTATATCTCCATTTTTGATAGTGTCCGGCTAAATGTTATAAGAGATGACAAGGCTCAAAGTGTTATTAGTTACATTAAGAAAAAACTCTATCATTATTGATGGGTTAAGCCCAAATAGTCCAATTTATGTATTAAAGTCCAACCCCGGTTGAGGAGCCCAACCTCATTGTGAATCCACCAAGTCCAAGACAGTCCAAGGCCGGTTAGACTTCTTGCTTAGCACGTCACCAAGAGAAGAGCATGAGAAGTTTATCTGCACCAACAAAGGAAACGGTCCAAATCCACCAAGTCCAAGACAGTCCAAGGCCGGTTAGACTTCTTGCTTAGCACGTCACCAAGAGGAGAGCACGGGAAGTTTATCTGCACCACCAAAGGAAACGGTCCAAATCCACCAAGTCCAAGACAGTTCAAGGCCGGTTAGATTTCTTGCTTAGCACGTCACCAAGAGGAGAGCACGGGAAGTTTATCTGTACCACCGAAGGAAACGGTCCAATGTTTGACCACGTTCCATGAAGAACCCCCAACCTCCTCCTTACGTTGAGGATAAGTCGTGATCTCCACCAAGGATAATCTCTGAGCTGCGATAAAGAAGCCTTGAGGATATGTCATGATCTCCACGAGAATGATCTCTTAGCTACTATAAAATGGCTCTAATCTGAGAGAGGAAAATCACGCCCTACTAGAGACTTACAGAAGACGAACCGACTACCGGAGATTACTATTTTCTTTGATTCTCCATTCTCTCTCTCAAAGCTTGTATCTCCATTCTCCATACCTTTGAATCAATAAAATACCCGGCAACTGAAGCCATTGAAGAGTGGACGTAGGTCGAATTGACCGAACCACTATAAATTGTGTCTTCTTTAATTTTTTCATTGATTTCATTGCATTTATTATCTACACTTGACAGGTGGTGTGCAAAACCATTTTTGTGCATCATCAGTTTGGCGCCGTCTGTGGGAAATCGACAAAATTCTCACTCCTGAACATTACGTCCATTAACTAATGGCGATCACTACTCGATCCATGAACCAACACGAAGACAATCCTCCACGAGAGGAGGAGGTTGCTCCCCCGCCTATCAACCCTGTTCCGGATACTTTAGCCCCGAATCCCCAACAAATATTGGAGACCATGCAGCAACTGGTTGCTCAAAACCAACAGTTACTGCAACTCATACTTGCTGGACAAGGAGGAGCACCACACGGAGGTGCACAACATGGAGGACCCCAAGGTGGAGCACCACACGGAGGTGCACAACGTGGAGCACCACAGAGGTGCACAACATAGAGCACCCCAAGGAGCTCCACATCCTGGACATCAAGGAGCACCACGCCCTGTTGCTCCACGCCCGGGTGCCCCATTGGGCACCCCACTTCAGGAAGCCCAACATGAGGGAGCTGCACCTCCCCCTCCCCTTGCTTTCCAGGGAGAGGACCCTTATCTCCAGGAGGATGAGGGTGAAAACCAAAGCATGGGGCATGGAAGCCACTTCCATGATCATTCCAGAGGAGCCCCCAATCATTGGGACGAGAAGATAAAGGAGGTACAAAATCAACTCGGTGATGTCTTCAACGCCATGAAGGCACAGGGACCCGAGACTGTTGACCACCTGGTAAGGCGTACTGATACCCCTTTCAAATCTGATGTAGCAAACTACCCCCTCCCTCAGAAGTTCAAAATGCCATCTGTGGAGACCTTTGATGGAACAAAGGATCCACTGGACCACCTCGACACTTACAAGACCTTGATGCAATTGCACAACGTACCAGACGAAATCATGTGCAGGGCATTCCCAACCACATTAAAGGGGTCTGCCCGACAGTGGTTTGCTAAGCTCTCCCCCGCCTCTATTGCCTCTTTCGCCGAGCTTAGCAGATCATTCGTCTCACACTTCATAGGAGGGCGTCGCCACCAGAAACCAGTTACGCACCTGCTTAGTATAAAGCAGGACCGCGAGGAGAGCCTGAGGAGTTACCTCACTCGTTTTAACGAGGAGGTACTCCAAGTTGATGAACCTGACGACAAGGTGACGATGACCGCTTTCTTGGGTGGCCTCCGTTCATCAAGTTTCCTTTTCTCAGTTCTGAAGCGCCCACCGAAGAGCATGCCAGAGCTGCTAGCCAAGGCCCAAAAGTACATAAACGCAGAAGACATCACAAGGGCCAGGCGGGGTGAGTCTTCCAGAGCGGTGAGAAAAGGAAGGAAAGAGAGAAGGACGATAAGAAGGAAACCAGCAACAAATATGGCAGGACAGAGAAAGTCCCTGTCAAGGACCGGCTAGGTCCTGCTCCTCAGAGGAACCGTCAACCTTTCACTCCCCTCAATGCTTCCGTGGAACACATCCTATTCCAGATCCAGGATGACCCCGCGATAAAGTGGCCTGGAAAAATGAAGTCTCCTCCAAATCGCAGAAATCCTAACAAGTATTGCCGCTTCCATCGTGACCACGGGCATGACACCGACGATTGCTACGACCTCAAGAGGCAAATTGAGGAGCTCATCCAGCGTGGTCACTTGCGTCAGTACGTTGCTGGAAGGGAACGTGTACCACAACCTCACAACCAGGAAGATCAGCAGCCTGTGGGGGAAATCCACACTATCTCAGGGGGACTAGCAGGTGGAGGAGAATCACTTTCCGCGATGAAGGCCCATGCCAGGAAGGCAAGACATGTCTACGAGATGCGCCCATCTAAGGTGCCGAAGCAGGAAAGCGACGAGGTCATATCTTTTTCAAACAAGGACCTGGAGGAAATCCAACACCCCCATGATGACCCCTTGGTGCTCACCATGACGGTGGCCAACTTTCATGTGCACAGGATCCTGGTAGATAGTGGCAGCTCTGCAGATATCCTATTTGCAGAGGCCTATGACAAGCTCAACCTGGGCAGGGAGAGGCTACAGCCAATCAGGTCACCCCTCATTGGATTCTCAGGGGAAAAAGTGTATCCCCTTGGATCCATCACACTTCCCGTCACCGCCGGAGTAACACCCCGAAGCTCCACAGTCATGGTCAATTTCCTGGTAATAGAATGCCCGTCAGCCTACAACATCATATTAGGGCGACCAGCTCTTAACACATTAAGAGCTGTGCCCTCTACCTACCATCTCGTTCTCCGCTTTCCAACCTTAAATGGAGTCGGAGAGGTCAAAGGGGACCAAATAACAGCCAGAGAGTGCTATGTATCCTCTATGAAGGCTAGGAAGCCCCAAGAAGCATTGCAAGTTGAGGTCCTTGACCCAAGGGATGACTCCGCAACAGAAAGAGGAGAACCAGTCGAGGAACTCATCCCTGTGGTCTTAGAAAAGGAGCACCCAGACAGAAGAATTTACATTGGCTCTTCCCTTTCTGAAGAGCTGGCTCCCCTGTTGATTGAATTTTTGGAGCGTAATATGGACATCTTTGCTTGGTCGCATGAGGACCTTGAGGGCATCAACCCGGAAGTAGCTACCCACCACCTCAATGTCGATCCGCGGTACAAGCCTGTTCGCCAAAAGTTAAGGGGAGCCTCCACTGAAAGGGCCCAAGCCATGGACAAGGAGATTCGAAAGCTGGTTGATAACGGAGCAGTCAGGGAAGTGGCGTATCCAGAGTGGCTCTCCAACGTAGTAATGGTCACTAAGGCTAATGGGAAGTGGCGTCTCTGTGTCGACTTCACAGAACTGAACAAGGCATGCCCAAAAGATAGTTATCCACTGCCGCGGATTGACCTCCTCATCGACGCCACCGCTGGGCATGAGTTGCTCACTTTCCTGGATGCATACTCGGGGTACAACCAGATTAGCATGCATCCCCCAGACCAAGAGAAGACATCATTCATCACGCCAAAGGGGACATACTGCTACAGGGTCATGCCCTTTGGGCTAAAGAACGCTGGAGCAACCTACCAACGGCTGGTGAACAAGATGTTCCAGTCTCAGATCGGGCAAACAATGGAGGTGTACGTGGATGACATGCTGGTAAAGAGCCTTGCAGCAGTAGACCACATTGATCACCTCCAAAAAACTTTCAACGTCCTGAGGTCCTATCACATGAAGCTCAACCCTGAGAAGTGCGCCTTTGGTGTGGGGTCTGGTAAATTCCTGGGCTTTATGGTCAATCAGAGGGGAATTGAGGCAAACCCTGACAAGATCAAGGCCATTCTTGACATGAAGTCACCCTCTTCAACCAAGGAGCTCCAGCGCCTCAATGGAAGGATCGCAGCATTAAATAGGTTTGTCTCCAAATCTGCAGATAAATGTCTCCCCTTTTTCAAAACTCTCCGAAAAGCCTTTGAGTGGAAACCTGAGGCAGAGGAGGCTTTTCAAAAGCTCAAAGCCTACCTAGCAGCACCTCCCCTCCTGTCACATGCTGCCCCTGGAGAAACTCTCCATCTATACCTTTCTGCTTCCCCATCAGCGGTAAGCTCAGTGCTCGTTAGAAACAACAATGGAGTGCAGAAACCAGTTTATTACGTGAGCAGGGCATACCGGGGGCAGAGGTCAGATATTCAGCACTAGAAAAACTGGCACTCGCTCTGGTCACGACAGCGAGACGGCTGCGACACTACTTCCAGGGCCATCGTATGGTGGTCATCACCGACCAACCACTTAAAAGAATCTTGGGAAAGCCGGACGTGTCTGGAAGACTTCTTAAATGGGCAGTAGAACTCGGGGAATTCGACATTCAGTACCAACCTAGGACGGCCATCAAAGCACAAGCCCTAGCAGATTTCGTAGCTGAACTCACACCAACAGAGGATGGGAACAGTGAGGATCCCCAAATGCCC